GCCGAGGGCCGTGCCGGCCCCGGAGACCGCTAGAGGAAGGGCTCTTTGCCGCAGCTACCGCTCCTCGCCGCCCCCCGCGGGAGCAGGCCAGGACGCTGTACCCGCCTGCAGGAGGGCTTCTCAGCGCCCGGCCCCCCTGCTTGTGCGAGAAACGGCGACGAAGCGGCCGGAGCCAACTTCGGTCTCGGCGGCCAGCAGCACGTTGTAACGCCCGCTCGAGGTGTGCGTGGGAGCGGGAGGAGACCCACCACCAGGCCTGGTACCAACTGCCCCGGGCCCCATGCCCACGGAGCTGCAGGGGAGCTCCGCTTCACCCAGCCTGTCAGAGAGTCGGTGTGAGACTCCCGCGGGTGCCACAGCTCCTCTCAAACGCTTCAGCTACCTTACCAACAACCTCCTTAACTCATTGCCAGCCCTGTTTTGAACTACTGCCCTTCGTAAGGGCCACTATAGCCCTGAAGCTAAGGAAGGAGTTGGGCACACCCAATCTTGGAACGTCTTACATCAACTGAGACAAGAGCAAACACTGACAGAACGGTGCCGCCACTATCACTGACAAACCCCAAGTGCTAGTCTGCATATACATAAGGTTATGTATGCACAGACAGTAGGATATGCCCATTGACACAGATTCCCTATGATAAGCACAAGGTTGGCAGCTATTACCTCCATCCAGTGATTACCAGATACCTTGCAGTCCAGTTCTGCAGGAGGAGGAAGGAAAGAACTGTAACCCAAAGCAGCCCAGAATAAGGGCCAGTTAACTGGGAAGGGGGAGGAAGGGAGGGAGACACATTGTTTATTTATATAGTTCAAGAAAAACACACACACTCTGAACAAGCCATTTTTCTTCCACCTAGAAGAATTCAGTGTTATGGAGAGAGACTGCAAGGCCAGCAAATTCTGCCTCAAGTCCCAAGACAAAGTAGTCTTCTGGGCTACCTGTTGAGGATGACGGAGAATGCATCAGCGTAATGCTGTGTGCTGCCTAGGAAACATCTGTAAACCTGGTAAGCTTGTGTTACTGCTTTTGCTGCTCTTAAAATTACAGCTAGGAAAAAAAACACAAACAGGATTACACATTCATGATGGAATTCTCACTTTGTTTATTCCCACTGATTATTGAAGAAAACACCAAATACATCAGCTATATATATTTTTACTATGAGGCATCGTAAGACTTCATATAGTACCAAGTTAACTTCTAGTCACCTTACATACCACTGCATGCATTAGGGCTGGGGAACATTCCCAGAAAATAATTAAAATCCCAACAGGAAAAACAAGAAAATAAAGGGAAAAAAAAGGAAGAAAATAAAGTATCAGTCTATAATCTCCATTACTAAGACTGATCAACACTAACTGGTATAAGAACAAGTAAAAATGTAGTTGTTTTGTAGGCTTAAGTCAGATAAGAAACGCTATTACATCTGTCTTTGTTTTATGATTCAAGTCAGGTTACATAGGCTGACAATACAGATGCAAACTCCTCTCTGGCCCCGTAAAGGCAGATAGAAGACCTAATGATTAACAAATCAAGAAGAGTGTTACATAATTAGCAATAGTCAATTTGACTATGTATAAAATAGTCTTGCCTTTTCAAGCTTGCAATTCTGTAATACATTTGCCCTAAACTCCTACAAGGTATTCAAATACAGTAGCAGCAATACATTCCATGCTGATGCCATATAATATGTCCAAGTTAGTAGTTTACTACTTAAAACTAGTTAAGTTTTAAGTTAACCAACAGAATCCCTGTCCCAAATACAGCTAGTAATACAATCTTGACAGGACCTCCCCTCACATCCAAAATAGTCATTACCTTTCACAATGATTTAAGAGGAGCTATAAAATCAGAGCCGAGAGGTTTGCATACAAAAAAGAGCAAATTGACTCTATAGGAGTGGTAGAAATGCATCTATTAATCAGACCAGTCTTCTGGGTAATGGCAAGTTGAACAAAATACAGAACACTGCAACCAATAGTACTACAACATATCTAGGAACAAAGAACATGGGTCACGTGCAACAGCAGAATGGTCACATTAGCATATGGCCATATTGAAAGATTTTAGAAGTAAGGACATGGAAACAGCTCAGCATAAGCTTCAGCTTCAGGACACTTAACACAGAGATAAGGAGATACAGATAGTAGTTGAAAATGGTATTCTTTAGGAGTACTTCAGGACACAGCTAGCTTTCTCATTCCAGTATCTACACATACATAAGATACGAAGAACTAGAAACAGATCAGAAGAAAGATCTAGCAGACCAATATGCAGTTCTGAGTGGGCAAATACCTACATCAGTTCAAAATTTCAATCTCTTAACCAGGAGAAGGCTGGTTAACCAAGAAGAGGTGCAGTATGCCTTCACTAAATTAGCAGCAGAGGTACACCCACAATGCTGTTCTGTATTGGCATTTCCTTTACTTTGTAAATAAAGGCAAGGTCCATCCTGGCAAAAGCCTATGTCTACAACCATAACCTCCACATTGTGTCACATGCAATGACAACATTCCTTTGTTTTAGACTCAGTTATGAGGAATGGGATAACTGCACAATTCTTATAACAGTAATCTAGTTAATGTGCATAGTGATGTTCTTAGATGAAGAAAAAGAAATGGAATGCTTTCTGCTATTGCTGTCTTTGGGCAACATAAAGCTCTTGGGAGCTCCTGACAACTGTGAACAGTCATCTGCATTGCTGTACCACTCATAAAGGCCATTACACTAAGAGCTAAGCACATAAAATAAGAACTGCAAGCACTCACACACCTGCTTACCCAACTGGAGAAATGGATACATAGAAAAACTATTCTGGAGAACTTCCAAGGAGTTCTCCAGAATATGCAACTGCACTCTAATCAAAGACACAGAGAACAAAGACAGAGGCAATTGTATAAGAACAATCTCTACACAGACACACATCCTTGTGGTTTTAAAAGCCACAAAACCAGTTCTCACAGCCAGTTTCAGTTGGACAAACTCTATAGGGAAGACATTAGCAGATACATTATTTAGTAAAAGAAAAGCACACCACTTTTAAAACAGAAAATTTGGCAGCAGAGCTAGTGCAGAGGAGGCAGAAAATAATCTTTTATATACATCAAGAATTTCCACACGTTTATAAAATCTCTGCATACCTCGCCAAACCTGTAACAGATGCTTAGCCAGTAAACGAGGATTAATTTCTGGATAAAGAGAAACATCCACAAAGGAGATACAAATTTGTTCAGAACTGGCAAGGGAGGGCTCTTGTCTAAAAGAAACCACACTTCAGCATGCATGACAGTGTAACGTTGTGTGTTCCTGACATGGGAAAACATGGAAACCTTAGGATTTGCTCTGGATCTCTTAAATCATTTCAGTAGGACATTTGGGGCTGAATAAAAGGAGAAAGCCAGAATGAGGCTGGGGAAGGTGGTCACTAATCCACAGCCAGGGCATGTTGAACATTGATTTGTCACAGGGAGAACAGCTAGGAGGAATCTGTGGACAAGATAGAGTGGCTGAAGAAAGGACAGATCACATGCTGCTTATCATAGGTCAAGAGGGAGAAAGCTGCCTTTGCACCTCAGGCTGTGCTTCTAGGCTTCACTGTGCACATCATTTCCAGACCAAAATCTGCAAGCCAGTTAGTTCTCAATGACATTGCTCAATATCCAGAATTTTTTCAGCACTGTGACTGTGGCTTCAGTTCATCTTGTCAAACAGTAGTCAGCAGAGCAGCACAATGATCACACCTGAGCACCTGCCAAAAGACTAAGAGGTATTAGTAACGCAAAGCAGTATAAAGGGATGTGCATTTTAATCTAGAGTTATTTGTGCACTGTGCTACAAACTCAGGTCTCCTCTTCCATGAGCTAACAGCAGCAACTAAGGAAACATCAGCCTGCAACACATAAGCACCTAAAGACCTTACATTTATTTCAGTCCATAACCCTGAATGATAAGCAATAGTGTGTCCAATAAGTTGACCCAGTGCTAGGAGATTCCTTTCCCTTCTCCCTAGGCAAGTTAAGTGAAGATTAGTTTCTTTAAAAGCTCAAAAGAATATTTTAAAGTCTAGATGCCTCAAACATTTCCACCTGGTGTAAAAATGACCTGTAATGTTTAACAATGCTCCAAAGGAAGCAACTGGCCAAGCAGATTTCAGGTTCTCCATTATCGGAGGTTTTTGACAGCAGCCAACAGAGACATGAATAATGGTTTAAAAATTCCACTTCAAGACTGGAAGGGGTCTTCCAAAGGCACGTACCCCATTTCCTTTTCCCATTTGTTCCAGTTATTGCAGAGCTTGAATATAACATCCTTGTCCAATTTTAAACTTGAAATCCTACAGAAAATCAGTTAGTTATGTCTGGCTTGCGTGTTACATTCATTCTTCTATAGTCACATAGAAGTGTAGTATTTCAATAGCACCAGCAATAATGACTTTGCATTCTATAACTATGTGCCAAGATGCAACTTCAGCACTGGAATTTAAGACATTTCTGCCTTTCATGTTTCTCGCTAGTCTTAGGTGTTCCAATGATATATTTTTAAGCACAAAATATTGGAGCAGTTAGCTGTGCAACTAAGCACATGGGCAGTCTTTTTTTGGCCTGATTTATATGTTCCGAAAAGCCTGCGTCAACACGTTTGCTGACTAGTGGGGAGTCATAATACATTGTTTTGTTTAACCAGTATTAAAAGTTTTTTATACTTTCATCTACTCAGTAGGGGTGGGAAATAGACTTTTAGGTGCTTTTTTCCACCCACCCCCCTTCAAATATACATTTGAAAAGAAAGACATAAACATACAGTCTGAGATCTAAGCGCTGTAAGAATAATCTTACAATAATTATGGCACTTAAGTGCCATAAGACTAATGCTCTGCTAATACAATTCTTCTAGTCTCCTGATATATATGAAACAAACTGGTCTCATACTGAAGTTTCAGCACTGTTTAAGTCTTCTTAATTGTGCAATGCCAGTACTAATTCACTGCCATGGCCAAATCGGATCTATGGTTATTTATAAAGTGCCTGCTGCTACACACAGATGCTGTAGATTACATACTCAAGCAATTTATGCCAGCAGCTTGTATTAGCAAAATGTTCATTTGAGCATTCCAAGATGCTCTACAGACATAATTACTCAAGCTGCATTAAAAAAATAATTTAAAAAAATAATACATATTACTTAATGAGACCATGTGCAACGACTACACAAAAGCAATGGTTTTACTTCCAAGTCTTTCAACCTCAACAAAGGAAATAGCAAAAAAAAAAAAAAAAAAAGTTACGTTATTTCCTCCAAGAACTGGCCAGTTTTTAGATATTAAATAGTTAGTGATGTTTGCACAGAGTATGTCTGTGTAAAGGATATTAAAACATGGAAGCATCAGAACTCTGACCGTCTTTCGCAAAACTACAAGAAACAAGCTAAGAAGGCTTGTTCATTTTGAAATATCCAGACTTTTCTAACAACAATCACAGCCTAAGGGCTACTACAGTTATTAGAAAAAAAACTAATAGCTTCATCGCCTCAGGTATTATCAAATCAAAGGACATAGCCTTTTATAAAAGGCTAGTATTGTTTTCTAAGACTTTCCAGCGACTCCAAAGAACCAGCATTAATTTTCATTGACAGCCACCATCTTCAAACCAAGCCGTGAGAAATTTAGTAAGATGAAACATTTTGCCTTTACGTCAGAACTTTCTGCTCCTTGGGGGTTAAACAGAAACCTGTGATTTATAGTCTGATAGTTTTTTACTAAATCCCAAAGCAAAAGAGAATATGCATTCTTTAAGGGATCTGACTGCCACACCACCTTCCCCACAGGTTTTTCTAGTATCATAGCCTATTCAGTTAAACACCGTAAGTGTTTTAATCCACTTTTTTGGGGCGGGGGGGAAGGGAGGGAGGGAGCGAGCTCAAAATGAGATCTTACAGGATTTAATCTTCACTACACATCCTGTGCTAGTGCCATGGACTTGCTTTAAACATCAGTAATGTACACTTTTTGCAATTACATCCAAAGAAAGAATATGCACTTTGTACGTTCATAAGAAGCTATGAAAACATCTCTCTAGGTTACAAACCTAGACAAGCAGTTATTCACTCCGATCCTTTGGCTCTCGGTATTTCCACTGGATATAGTCAAAGATGTCTTTTTCACATTCTACTGGTAGGGCCTCCCCAGCAACTCCTGCAAGCAAATTACAGATTCTATTATGAAAGGTGGGAGGTCTGTACAATCCTGAAATACCAAATGCATTGCAAGATTAAGACAAAACTGCTGTAAGTAAAACAGACTTAAAAAAACAAAACACCCACACACAGACCTTTTCATACAGTGTTTAGGTACTGATCTCGTTAGTGTCAAAGGAAATAAGGTAATGCATTAACTTTGGGGCCATGTGGTTATGCAGTTAAATACACACACACACACACACGCGCGAATATAAATATAAATATAAATATATATAGTCAGCCCCCCTCCAAAACAAAACAACTGAAGGACATGACATATCTTATTAAAAGAGTGGGAAAACCACGTATGTGCTGTGCATGACACTGAAAAAACAATCTTTAGGTCAGTAAGACTTTAAGTAGATTAGGTGGCCTGAAGAGGTAACTTTGTGCCACAGTGCATATGTGCCACATATTCCTGCTATAATTGTGTTCAATACCAGAAAAGACACTGTGAAAAATTTCATGAACTACGGTATTTATCAGAAGTATTTCCAGTACACTGAGAAACCAATTTAAGGAGAAGATCACACAAAGCAGGTAACTAGAAAGAATACTCTGTGCAAAGGCCCAGACTGACCAGTGACACCCAAGGGACGGATTGTATACTCGTTGATCGTGAAGCCCATTTCCAGAGCATGAGTTCTCATGTTCTTATTGAATATATCACTTCCTGTGAAATACAGTACACCACAGTAATACTGATCTTTGGGGATAAGCCTAGAATAAAAGTGGAAGAAAAGTACAGATTTAGAACAAATATATAACAAAAATGTTACAAGCCATTTGGAATTCAGCCATTCAGACACTGTTCTAGGTTTAGTTCCTATTTACGTGCACACATTCTGCTACTCTGTACATTTGATTTTCCCACAAGCCAGATGCAAGAATGAAATGAACTGCATATCGAAGAAAGGTTCAGCACATCTACCCTGACCCAGAAATTACTGGTATTCAGCCACTACGTGGTTATGGTGCTTGCAGTCCTGCCAACAATTAATGTCAAAGCAGTATGATAAAGTAGGTCACAATTCTGAAACTGGATACAAAGTCATGATCTAAAATACAGCATTCTTACTAATAACCTGTTGTAGATACTGACAGTTGTACAGTGGCTTCCATACTGCAGAGGAATTAGAAACCTAGTAAAGTGACACGTTCTGAACGTGGAAGTAGAGATTTGAATGCAAAACTTGATGCAAATGCCTGCTATGTAGGCATAAGTAGCTAAAGTAGGGTTTGGGGCAGGGGGCGGGGTTGGGTGGGTTTTTTTGGTGTGTGTACCGGATATCAATTCTCCTGTGTGGATAGGCTGTTCCATCTTCTTTATTTGGCAGCTGACAGACACCCTGTGAGGAAATAAGGAAAGCAAGAAATTCAAAATGAAATTAAACAGATGTGAGATCAATCTTCACCTCCCTACCCCCAAACAACATCTAAACATCCTCAGTCATCCTGGAGAGCAAAGTTAAATTCCCACTGATCCGATTAAATATTTTACTAGAACAGCTGGATGTCATAGTACCATGAATCACTATTTTACACTGCTAAGAGGACCATAGTTCAATGTAGCATATAACTGCTTCTTAAGTTTATATTACAGCAGGAAGGATCACAGGACTTCTCATTTCCCATTCCTCTGCCGTAATTATTATCAGGCTCTTCAGTATGCACAAACATCAGCAGGTTAAGGAAAATGCAGATGAAGCTCAAGCTAATAGAAATTAAGAAAGTTTTTTCCTGAGAAATCCTCTGCCACTTTTCATTTCAAACTGTTTTGCAATCTTCATGAAATTCACGTATCAGCCTTTTCTTTTTTCCCCTAGTCTATGATCACCTTAAATGACAATGCAGTAGGGGGGAGGGACATGAGCCATAAGGAATGATGAGAAACGTTTACATACTAAACCGTTTCACTAATTGCAGCTTCATGCTGAGACATCAAGTTTCACTCCCTCTCAGAATGCAACACATACTAAACTGAAGACAAAATTCTCAGAGTTCTTTGAGCTCTTATTTTAAGCAAAACCAAACCAACAAACAAAAAAATAAAATAATCAAGTGCTCCAACAGCCCCTTTCATCTTGGGAAAGCAAATATCTTTAACTGTAGTATTATATATTTAAGTATTTATGCCTTCCAAAAGATTAGCTGAATATAACAGTTATCTTGATTCTTGAATAGAAATTCATAAGTCATGGACCTTTGGTGAACTCTCCTGCAGGACCACTCCTCTGAGCTTCCAAGGAATTCCATAAAGCCACTATGAGTGACTGACAGGAACTAACCAGTCCTCATTTCCACTCAGTATTGCTTACCGTTCTACACTTCTCTGTTAGAATTAACTTTTAACCAGCCTGTAAGATCAGGATACCTGGGGCCAGTAAAGAAAATTAAGTGAAGCAAGATAACACCCAATCCACATGTTTAAGGGGTGGGGGGGGTAGGGGGGGTGGAGTTTTGCTGTGAGCGAGGGACCTAACAAAATGAATGTTCCTGTAATTCATTACTTTCTTTAGGCATCCCACATATTCCCTATTATATCCTGAATCTAGCAGCTTATCCATTAATCTGCTCTGCAACAAAATTGACAAAAAAGGAGACAAAAGTATATTATGTATTAGACAAAACAAGGTAAACGTAGGCCCAAAATCAAAGATAGTGTTTCCAAGATCTTGAGGACAGAGTTACAAAAGTGGTCATTGGTGCAGCTGAAGTGAGGTTGTGCTAAGGTTCTGGGGAAACATCAAGCAAAACAGAGACACAATGGGTATTGTGTGATGAATGTTGTGTCAGTGGGGTTCAGAAGTACATAAATACCTGTAGATTTTCTAATACTGAAATCTTACCATGAGAGATTCACTAAGAGTTAACTGCAGAAAGTTTTTAGGGGGAGAAGGGGGGGAATTTAAAAAAAAAAAAAAAAAAAAAATCACAACTCCAGCACTCCAAACAACGTATCTTGTATACATCCTAGCTTCTGTCAGAAAAGGTAATCCTCCCCCAACATCTCTCACCACCAAAAAAGCCTTACCATGAATTTGGTGTCACCTTTAGACAGCATATCTGTGACAAAGTGGACTTTTTCCAGTTGTTCTACAACTTGACGCAGAAGTTTTGGCTAGGAACAGTGACAACACAGAACAAGAAATTATTTCACAAATAACAAGAATATCTTACCCATTTACCAGACAATTGCCCACGTAAGTACAGGACATCACTATAATTATATGTATTATTGTACATGAAATTTGACCCAGAGGGGAAAAAAAAGTAACAATAATACTGAGAACAAGCTAATAAAATTACACTTGTGCAACGTAAAAAAAATTTCAACCGAAATCCCCATGTCAGATTGCTTTCGTTAGAAGTGACAAAACTCATTTCTTGGTTTGAGTTTGCAACTGTTAAGCAATGAATCTATAGAAGCCACACAAGAAATACAAACTGTCATTAAGACTTCTCCAGAGTTAGTCCCAAAAGATTACAAGAGCAGCAGGACATTTGCTTCTTGTCCAAAAGATTATGGCTACATAAAGAGATATTTACTCTACCTTTAATCCCTGCTTTATCCAGCTAGCTGTTACAGTTCTACGATGTAAAAGCACATGAATTTGAGGGGGCAGGGGAGTATGTGTGAAGGGAAGCAGAGGGACAGAAGGATAAGAGTAAATATACTTAATAGTTCTGCAAGAGGAACACAACATAATACATGGACCTGAGAAGTGATTATAACTCCTCAAAATAAACATGGTGATCCAAGAGAAGAGTTTACTATTACAGTAACAAAAAGATGCAAGAAGCTGCAATACAAGTCTGAGACTACATACCTTATGAATTTAAACATACCCTTGTGGAAGTAATGCACAGTACTGATCCACAGTAGCAGAGAAACACACCTGTTTGGATGATTCAGATGTGAAACTCGGATGGGTTAGGAGAACATCCATATCACCGCTTGACTCTGCACCTAGGCAAGTAAGAAGCAAAGAAAAATCCCTCTGTGTATGACAAGGTATACTAGCATTGGTGAACATCCATCTAACCTCTTCCTACAAACATGTTTTTCTGGTAGAAAATAGTCAGTCACTATTCAAGATATTTGCAAAAAAACGATCTTAAAGTAAGAGAACCTTGTTCTTCCATCAAAAAGTTTATATCCCTACATATCTCAGAAAATACCCAAGAATTTCTTGCTGTACTCTATCGCGATGAAGCACAAATGTTGTTAACGTAAAAACAAAGCAAACAATTCACATTACAACATACTACTCTATGGGGGCAGGGTGGAGAAGCAAGGATTTATGCGAGTGTTTCACCACTGAACTAACCAGTCAAGGAAAAGCTAACAGGGAAAATCCAGGTTCCAGCATAAGCTGTCTCTCTAGAAGAACAACATATGTAGTCATGAGTCTTGCTTATTAGCCCAAAATAAACAAACATAACAAGATCACAGAGTACCAACCTCGTCTGAAACTGCCACAGACTGTAGCAATATAGTTTGGGTCCACCTTCTTTACCTCTTTCAGCACAATTTCCTATGTAAAAAGGAAAGATGCGTGTTTAGAGGTGTCGGTCATTCATTGGTCATCAGTGCCTCACATCCTCGACAAAGATATTCTTACCTGCATTTGCAGCATCTCTTCCCTCGGGATTCTTTTCTCAAAATCTTCAAAATATCTGCATATATAAAAATAAAAGTGTCTCAAAGAGTGGCAAGGGTAGTATCTTAAAGTTTTAGTCAATTAAATGCGTATCAGAGGAAAGAATACAACTTATATTACTGTCACATCACAAAAAACTCCCCATTCTCACCAAACATCTTAGAAAACATCTTGCCAAGCGATAGTAAAAACTCACAACTGCAAGTTTGACAATGCTTAGAAGATGGTTTCATTGCATATTATTTCCACTGTATACGAAGAGCTGCTATGAGGTGGAAGTAATACTACCGTATAACCAATTGGTTTATATTTACATAGCCCTCTGAAAATACAAAAGGTTCCTGACAAAACTCAGTCCACCAGCAAGCAGGAGGAACAGGTCCCTCACCCATGGTCAGAGGTGATCTATGATGGTAAGAGCTAAATGGAAGCTCACAAGTCAAATACAGCTCCTGATATTTTTGCATGCAGCTGTAAAAAACAGACTGCCGGCATGCTGCTTGACTGTGGAGAAAAAGAGGCCAGGTGAAACAATGACGCACCTGACCAGCAGGCACATTCTTCACCCCTCCAGCGCCAGAACCATTGACAGCAGGCACTGGCAGCCATACTGCAGCCTCAGAGTCACATGTTCCCCGACGCTCATTACCCAACCATCCCAATCCCAAGCACTGCAGACAGAGCTTCTGGATATGGGACTCCCCCCGCCCCCCCCCCCCCTCTGCAGTGGAACTAGGGACAAAAAGACCACCACAGAGCGCTGAGCGCTTATTCTGAAACAACATCTGAGCACAACGCTGGAAGCAGACCCCAGACCCATGTGTGAACTAACCACAGAGCACTGAAACCATTCTTTCAGCTCAGCACTTACCGGAGGTTCTGAAACAACATCTGAGCACAACGCTGGAAGCAGACCCAAGGGCAATGTGTGAACTAGCAACATGGATAGGTCAGGTAAGTTTTCTTATACTCACTTAACAGTGAAAGGTTTTCCCTTGAACGCTCACACGTATAAAGGCAGGGATGCACACTGGGTATGGGGCTCAGATGAGCAGTGGGAAGGCAACAATCATTGTGTAACCCTTCTCACTCACTAGCAAGCAGTTTGTCCAGATGACATGTTCTACATCTCTGCCACTGATGTGGAAACGCTAGAGCTGGCCCCACACAGAACCAATTCATAGGGCTTTATTTGGCTCACTTGCAGCTTCCTGCAAACACAGCTATAGTTCTTCCAGAACTAGCACACTGGAACAGACACTCAGCAAGCAGCATTCAAGCTGGTAAGTATTGAGGGACAGACACACATTCTGCATGGCATTCTCAAGTTCAGACATGCAAACGTCTTACCTTGCTCACAGCACATAACAAAAAGTAGCCTGGGCCACTTTTATGCAGATTCCCAAGAAACACCATTGCAACCTTGCTAAAGCGATTCTCCGTGAGCTAACTGAAAAAAGTAATTTGAAATTCATTTCCTTCTGGACAGAGACTAAGCCTACTGGATTTCAACCCCAGTGAAACAAAAGCTTTGAATAACTGCTGAAAAGCATGTAGAGCACACAGAAAGAACAGAACCTTACTTGGCCTGTGTAACCTTACATTACATCCTGGTGTCTGAAGGAGTCATTAGAAAAGCCCAGCACTTGCACCCAAGAAAGCTTACTTCAACCCAATTCGCTGGTGATGGGTCAGCTTGCGCTCATTTTTTCTTAGATCTAGAAGAATTAAGAAAAACAAAAAAAAAGTTACTTAAGGAATAAAAATCCAATGCGAAGATGACGCACACAAAGAATACGTAACAAGAAAACAGCGACCTCAAACACAAAGGAAGAGATTTTAAACTGACTACTCAACAGCTGATAGGATGAGTACAATTGCACACTTGCCGATAAAGACTTCAATAGACCATTCACCTCAAAGCCAAAATCCTTGTTATTTTCCATATAATCTGTAAGTACTTTGGATATGTGTGTAACGCCTTTAGCCTGTGCACTAACTTTAGCATCTTATACACTTTCCTCAAAGCCTAGGGCATATCTGCTATCACAGTACCACTGTGGAACAGGCAGCTTGACAGAAAAAAACATTATTGGAGTGTGAACTGAGGACCCAAAGTTACACTTACCTTCTAAAGTCTTAATTCCTTCCTCGACAAACTTCCTAGCAGCAGCAGGACTGCAAAGAGACAAGGCAATCTGCCATCAGGAACAGCAAGAATCTTACAACACTGAAAAGGACATTAGAATTCACTATAACTGCCTAGGTTCTTCAAGGCCAAGACTGAAGTCGCTTCTGATGCTTACCCTCTTTTCAGCATACATATTTTCAGTTTGTACTTTCAGTCAGCAGAGATGGCTATCCAAGGCTTGGCCTGCACGTTTTTTAGCACTGGTATAACTATATAGCGATGTATAATTGTAAAAAATAAACAAACAAAATCTAACCAAATAGACAATATTGCTTTAGACAACAATACTGAATGCACGATAAGAACTACTTTAACCACAATCAGTCTCTGAGCCAGCTTAAGGCAACAGTAACACAAAAGTGTCTTTAGACTAGCACTTCAAAAAACACAACAAGGCTCCCGCTCCAGTCCTGCTGGAGAGTTTGCCTTAAGCACAACACTTAAGTGAATGGCTGAACCTTTTTCCTCTTTAAGGGTTTGTTATTAGATTAATCTGCGTGACTCTGCGGGGAAAGAACAACGTTTCAACTGTGAGACAGGCATTCAAGTAATGTTATACCCAGACACCTATCTAATATATCAAAACACTGAGAACCACCAGCCTGGAAGCATAGTCTGTTCCTGGGGAACTACTCTCCAGCTACTCTGGAATCCCATGGTTACAGCTCCACCACCCTTAAAGACTTTGAATCCACTTTCTCAATAAAACTCTTACATTACAATAGAATTGTCAGATCTTGACCTGCCATTTACTTCCTTCCTTACCCTTCCCTGCATCTCTTGCCGGATTCCAGACCAAGAGAGGCAACTTCCACTGTCCTGAGACAGGACAGCACCCAAGCTTCTCCTGCATCCCATCCCAGTTTCTCAAAGGCATTCTCAAACCCCAGTATTTCCTCAGATTTTGAGCACATTTTCTCTCAGCATTACTTGAGAACGATCACATTCCCTACCCTCAACCTCAAGGGTTTCAAACTTTGCACAAGAGCCCTGATGGTTTTTTGGGGATTGTTTGTTTTTGTTTTGTTGCCTGTTTCAGGGCTCTAATTCTCCTTTTACAAACACATGACAGAGCACCATTGTCTCTGGACCCAACTTCCCACCAAAGTCCCAAAGGGACTTCTCACTTCCACTCTTCTCAGTCTTTCATGGTTCCATTCCTGAGCAGCTCCTCTCTCCTCCTCCTCTCAGCTTGTACGCAGGAGCTTCCCCCTTCTGCTCCTCTACCACAAAGTCTGTAACTGAAGATTCTACACCCTTTCTTCTCAGTCAATCGTGTCATCACAACTATGGTGTCTCAGTGTGGGCACAGCAGCATCAGCTCAAACTCATTCTCTTCATTATTTGCAATCACCCAAATTCTATTCGTAACTCCACCAAATAAACAGAAGGAGGAAAAAAAATCAAACCCAAAAAAGAAACAAACAAAAAAACTTTACCCAATGCCAGTAACTCGTGTCAGGAGATTGATAGATGCACTTGTATCATCTTGTCGAATCTTCAAAAACAAAACAACACAAACCAAACCCTTCTTTACTCCATTTGCAATAAACAAAGAAATCTTGAGAAGATAGAACAGCTTAGTCAGACTCTGCTTTGGAGGCTCACTATAAATCAATGCAAAACAGTACCAAGGGTAGTACTGTGTATCACAATAACGCCCCACGTACCAAGCCTGAAAACTGCATAACTACCCGTACTAAGGTGAACAGCATGGTTAAACCACAAAACTCCACAGCCTTCCAGTCACAATTCCACTTCTCACAGAAGACATTCACGTGCTGATTATATAACTTAAAATATTTTCATAAATAGACAGTTTTGAGGCTTTAGCTGAGCTTCTCGTTCCCTGCTTTCTACTCACCATAGACTCCATGTCCACCATTCTTAAGCTTGACATCAGTCTCTCCAGGGACAACAGAAATTGCACAAAGCAAGCAGGCTCCTTTGCAAGTTACAAAGAAAAGCAACTATTGAGAAATAGAGCACAAGGGAAAGAAACCCACCTTTTCCAATTTGCGTAGTTTTCCAGTGGATAAGAACTCATCTATCTTCTCAGCTATTTTAGCACCTACTCCATCCTAAATATTGGGGGGGGGGGAGGAGACAAGTTAACTTCAAGATCACTTAAAGCCATTATATCTAGGAAAAAAAAGGAAAGCTTCCCAGAATTCAGAGTCCAGAAAGAACAATGACACCACTGAGACCATGACAAAATATTGGACCATAAGGAAGCACGAGAATTCAAGGGTACAACACAAGCAGCACGAACACTGCAATTCAAGGGCTATATTAAAAGTTCCCCCAAAGCAGTGATTTTGAACAAGGCTTGATTATTACTGCTCAAGTTCCCCGAGTTTAGTGAGGCAGTAACAGAGCAAAGGGGAAACCTGCCACAACAGAATCCTTTTACAGGCAGAGAGTCAATTGGAGTCCCCAGTTCCAGCTACGGAACCCCCGCTAGCAGCCACACAGCACCCCCGTCCCCGAGCCCTGACTCGGCCACCCGAGAGAGGGGCTGGCACAGGCGGGGTCAGCCCCCACCCTCCCCGGGAGCCCCCGGCACCGCGCTCCCGCTCCGGCTGCCCCAAGGGCCTCCCGCCGGCGACCTGGGCGCGAGCACCTACCAGCTTCTTGGCTTCGGCCCCGCTCCGTATCTTGCTAGGATACCGGGAAATAACCGAGGCCGCCTTCCTGCAGAACAGTGCCGGTCAGCGCCCGAACGCGGGAGGCGATGCTAGCCCGGCCGGCGCGGCGGCGGGCTGGGCCCCGGGACGGGGGCGCCGGCGGGGAAGCGGGAGGCGGTACCTGTATGCGTTGTACTTGTGAATAGCCCGG